ATTCAGTCCACAGGCCAACACTCTATCCACTGAGCCAAACCAGCTAGGGCTGGTTGTATGTTTTATACACCAATACTGAACTATCATAAAAAGAAACTAAGAAAACAATTCCATTTACAACTACATCAAAAAATAAGGTACTGCCTTAGCTGGTTGCTGTGGTTAGAGCTCAGCCCATGGACTGAAGGGTCTTGGGTTTGATACCAGTTAAGCACATGTACTTGGGTTGCAGGCTTGATCTTGGGCCCAGGAGCGTGCAGGAGGCAACCAATCGATGTGTTTCTCTCACATCAATGGTTTCTCTCTCCCTCCTCCTCCCTTCCACTTTCTAAAATAAGTCAAATGGAAATGCTTACAGCTCTTTTTGAATTTGTCTAGCAAGTCTTCTGGTTTGTACCAGAAGGCCCTTAAAAAAAAAAAAAGAAAGAAAGAAAAAAAGTGAATGGAGCCCAGTCGGAGTGGCTGACCATCAATCTATGAACTAGGAGGTCACGGTTTGATTCTCAGTCAGGGCCTTGATCCCCAGTGTGGGGCGTGCAGGAGGCAGCTGATCAATGATTCTCTCTCATCATTGATGTTTCTATCTCTCTCTCTCCCTCTCCCTTCCTCTCTGAAATGAAAAAAAAAATGTATTTTTTTTAAAAGTCAATGGAAAAAATATCTTCAGGTGAGGATTAACCAAACCAAACCAACAATAAAAATAAGTTGCCCAAAGGTCTTTAAAAATAAAAAAATAAAAAACACATCTGTTTTCATACTGTTTAACGTCATTTATTCTCTATAATCCTATAGAACACAGGTCAGAGGATGTGTAATACTTACTAGGCTTTATATCCATGTGAACCAAAGACATTGAATGAATATACCTCAAGCCCCGGCCAACTTGCAAAAGGAGATCCTTCAGCTCTGCTTCTATAAAGTAACGCATGCTTCCATAGTTTATACTTATGGCATCAGCCAAACTTCCACCTAACAAACACACACACAAAAAAATTAGCATTTTCTCTTTTCAGAAATATTATTTTTCTTTTATCTTTTCTGAATGATCACAGACTTAACCAAGAAAATGACCTTTTATAGGACCTATTCCCTTCGATCTGCTTGTGAAATAAAAATTTTACTCTTTCTATAGCTAATACACTCACATGGGTACAAAATATAAAGTAGAGTCTCTGGGATATCCATATACCCCAGCAACCCACCTGGTTCTTTTCCCCCAGAATAAATCAATGTTATTATATGCATTCTTTTCAACTCCTTTTTATACAAGTGATATTTTCACTATTTTAAAAAATATTTTTATTGACTTCAGAGAGGGAGAAGAAGAGATAGGAACATCAATGGTGAGAGAATCACTGAACGGGTGGCCCCCTGCACGCTCCCTATTGGGGATTGGCCCACAACCCAGCCACGTGCCCCAACCAGGAATCCAACCGTGACCTCCCGGTTCATAGGTCAACGCTCAACCACTGAGTCACCGAGGCCGGGCATATTTTCTTTATCTTGAAGATAGTTCTTCATCACCAATACAAGACATTCCCTTTACAGTGTTTCTATCAAATTCACTGTATAACTGAATGGTAACGCATTAACCAATCCCCTATTTGATGGACATTTTTTAAACAGTTTCTAAACCTTTGCTAATATATATACTATGGTCTAAGTCAGCCGTGGGCAAACTACGGCCCGCAGGCGGATCGGGCCCATTTGAAATGAATAAAACTATTGAAAAAAAAGACCGTACCCTTTTTATGTAATGATGTTTACTTTGAATTTATATTAGTTCACACAAACACTCCATCCATGCTTTTGTTCCAGCCCTCCGGTCCAGTTTAAGAACCCATTGTGGCCCTCGAGTCAAAAAATTTGCCCACTCCTGGTCTAAGGAATAATTCTGTACATTGATCATTTCATACATATTTAGCGTATCTCCTAGAAACCTATTGTTGGGTCAAAGGGTATGTACAATGTAAAATATACATGCATAGTATGTGTGTGTAATACTATTTTCTTACATATAGATTAAGTTTCTGTAGCCAATAAGGCCATTTCTGTTTAATCTCTGCAAAAGAACTTAAGATTGGTATTCATACCATCAGTGCCAAGACTTGATTGCCTCTGAAAGTTAACAAAAAGAAGTAACAGGATCTGGCTGGGTAGTTCAATTGGTTAAAGTGTCCTCCAGATATGCCAAGGTTTCAGGTTCGAACCAATGAGTGTATAAATAAGTGGAACAACAAATCAATGTTTCTCTCTCTCCCCCGCTTCCCTTCTCTCTAAAATCAATAAATAAAAATTTTAAAAAAAGAAATAGTGCACTCAATTTCTGATTTCAAAATGGCTAGTACTTAAAGTCTATAAGCAGTTGCCTATGTGAATGGGGTGATTACATGTGCATGTAAGTGTACACACACACACACACACACACACACACACACACACACACACACTGTCCCCATAGAGAAAGCTGTACCAATTTATATTCTCATCATTAATGTATGATTATACCTGTTTTCCCACACCTTTGATAACGATCTGTAAGTTTTATAGGTAAAAACCAGTATCTTGGGCCCTGCTGATGTGGCTCAACAGTTGTGCATCAACCTATGAACCAGGGGGTCACGGTTCAATTCCCGGGCAGGGCACATCAATCAGTCGCCTCCGTATACTCCCCAAGGGATCAAACCTGCAACCCAGGGATGTGCCCTGGCTGGGAATCAAACTGGCAACCTTTTTAGTACACAGGACGATGCTCAACCAACTGTTGAACCACTCTGGCCTGGCCCACCACTTCTTTTTAAAGCTTAATTAGAAAAAATAAAATCAAAGCCAGGATAATAATATCAGAAGTCAATGAAGTATTAGGAAAGGAAGCTGCACAATTTGAACAAGAATGAATAACAAATGGCAAATTTGTTTTTTAAATAAAAATAAACCACACTTGAATATCTTAGTCATAAGTGGGTTCTCCATACTTAACCTGCACAAGTCTTGAACTGCAGGGCAAAAAGGGATTCTAAAAGGGAACAGGTCAATAAACCTGTCAGACAAGGGGACTTGAAGTCCTATATCAAGTTTAATAAGAAAGAGTATGGCTTCTTTTTAGTGGGTATAGCAACTATTAGCTAAAGCAGTTCTTTTTATCTCATTGCCAAAAGGGCAAGAGAGGTGAGAAGAGCAAAACATTCATCTGATTTTTAGGTTCTCTTCCCCTATCTGGCAACATTTTTATACACTTATTTCAATCTATCACTACACTAAAGACAACAGACTTAAAATGCAAATGACTCTGAGATAATAAGGAAGCTTAGTCACTGATAAAGGATATCAGTTAATCAACATGTACAAATCAATGATAACAGAATCCTTTCTCTGTGAAACTGTGTTTTCTGAAGATCAGGCTTATTACTATTCAAAGCTTTTCGAAAGTAGAGAGAGGAATAAGTGGAAAAGAAAAACAAGAGATAAGAAAAGCTCACAAATGTATCAGGATGGTCTTAGTTTCTTTCATTTAAGCAGAACAAACAACCATACAAAAAGGCATCCCTGTGCCACACAGGCCTACTTACTTTTTAAACATTTTTATTTTTCTTGAAAGTTTTATAGTGCCCCAAAATAATAAACTATTTCAAAAGATTATTTTATAACCTAACTTTATAATAGGACAAGGTCTTTGTCCCCACATCTGAATTATACAACCATGTAATTTCCTAGGTTGTTACAAATTTGTGATCCCTAGACTACCACTGAAATACATAAGGGAACCAACCACATCAAAAATGTGACAGAAAAAAAAAGTGACAGGAAGGAAGAAATTAATAGGAGACAGTGTCTAGCAAATATGGAGTGGAAAAGACATTATGGTTGAGTTGTACTGATATATATCAAATGTAGTAACTGAAAAATAAAGGTTAAGAAACAAATCATGGAAGACAGATACATAAAAATTTTTGTTGTTGTTAATCCTCACCTGAGGTTATTTTTTCAATTTATTTCTAGAGAGTAGAAGGAAGGCAGGAGGGGGAGAGAGAGGAAAACATCTATTGGTTACCTCCTTACCTGGGCCTGTGAACCTGCAACTGAGATATGTGCCCTAGACCTTCAGTTGGAAGGCTGAATGAAGCTCTAATCATTCATTCATTCATTTAAGAGTGGAAGAGGCATGTATA